AAGATATAAGCGCCGGAAGAAGGGCAAATGCTAGGGTGCCAAGCTAGCACCTCTTTGACTTTTCAAAAGTGGATATATTTATCCCTTATGTCGTCTCTTTCTTCATTTTTCCACAGAACACGACCAAAATAAGACCGTTAAATTACCCTTAAGCTCTCTACAAGGGTTTTAAAGAAGATTAACATCCCGAGTACGAAATCAAGAAGCGATAACATTAGAACGATCCCTACGAAGTAAGTATCGCCATATCGCCTCTCTTTTTCTTTGTAGTTTGAGTTTTGGGAGGTACTTCATAGTTTATAAAATTCCTACTTTCAGTATTTAATATTTTAAATATCAAGGAAGGTTGATGAATTCGTTTCCTAATAGTTAGAACTCACGGGATGGTGATCGAAAGTCGTGAGTTCCATTTGTTTCACTTTTAGTGGATTGTTTTGTAGTCCACTCATGTTGGCCTATTGTGCTGCTGATTTATGGAGTTTTGAAGGATAAAGGGCATGGAGAAATGCAATATGTAATAGGGTAGTGGTTTGGTCGCTCGTCATTGCAATTTCAGGCTAATTGATAACTTGTTGATTGGGTGTGTTATGGTATGTTTGGGTTTTTGGTTGTATTAAAGGTCCTGAATTGTAGTTAGGTTGCTGGTTGTATTGTGTTGTTGTCTCGCCTATAGTAGGCTTGAGGGAGCAGTAAAATCAGGGGAAATGCTGCCCGTTTTATTTTAGAATCAAGTTATCATTTGAGATGCACGATATACTAGCGCCATCTAAGTTGTACATGTATTTCTTTGTTATAGGGTTGGCGCGCTAGTTGTCGTAAGCTAGTTGTTGAGTTGCATTGACGACTTGAGGTATGTTAAGTCTATCTCTTCTTTCCTTTTGGCATGATCCATATGATACAACGAAATGAGCAAGCACACAACTTTCACAAATGGTTATATTCTTAGAAGTACTAAGGTTGCTTATGTTCTTGATCTCCCATATGTCATACTATCATATCGTATGTTCATGGGTCTCATGACATTTCGAGAGATCTTATTGACTTACTTCATTATGCATTGCATTCATTTATATATGTATATTAACCCATGACCAGATGGTGTTATATACGTGTATAGTATATGTATATGGGGTATGGGGAAAGGTTATGGCGTTATATACGCACCACCACTTCATCAGTTGGTATAAGTAGATAATTTCGCCCACAGAGACCGAGATGATATGATGGGATGCCCTCAGACGGTTGATGATGCTATGTACGCATATTCCTATGCATGATTTGACATTTATACGCACATACATGACATTATAAATGTTTCATGATTCACAGAGCTATTCAGACTTACAGGTTGAGTCCTTTACTCCATGTTTCTTTCATGTCTTTTACATACTCCTTTTCATGCCTTACATACTCGGTACTTTATTTGTACTGTCATCCCTTTTGCATGGGGAAGTTGTGTTTCATGCCTGCAAGTCCCGATAGACAGGTTGATAGTCCTCCTAGTAGGCTATCAGCTCAACAGAAGGTGTTGGTACACTCCACTTGCTCCAGAGTTACTTATTTGGTTAGTATGCTTTGGACATGTATTTATTGGTATGGCGGGTCCATGTCCCAAACTTTAGGCTGTTTATGTACTCTTAGAGGTTTGTAGATAGATGTTAGGTGTATGAAAGATTTACGGCCTTGTCGACCTATGTTCAGTGTACTAGTGATCATTTTGGACTTATAGACCTGTATGTCACATGTATAAGTTTTTATTACATGTTGGGTCGTCATATGTCTAGTATTCCCTTATATTTTATTCTGGTTATATCATGACGGCCCTTCTGTCCCATTTATCCATGATGGTATTATAAGAAAAAATATATTACGTTGGTACTTAAGGCATCGGGTGCCCATCGCGGCCCATCGGTTTGGGTCGTGACAAACAAGTCCTTGCGTTCGTCAAGCAACTCCAAATTGACTAACATTGATTCATTGTTTGCTTCTTCATTTTTTCGGAAATACCTCAGGGTATGTTCTCCTACTTCCACCGGGATCAAGGCTTCTTCCCTGTACATAAGAGAAAAAGGAGTCTCTCCCATGCTCGATTTAGCCGTTGTTCGGTATGCCTACAATACGCCTGCAATCTTCAGGCCATTTACATTTAGCTGCTTCTAATCTCTTTTTGAGACTTTGTATAATCACTTTTTTCATTGATTCTGCTTGACCATTTGCGCTCGGATGATAGGGTGAAGATGTGATCCTTCTGATTTTCAAATCTTCAAGGAACTTTGTGACCTTTGCGCCTATAAATTGTGGGTTGTTGTCGCATGCTATCTCTTTTGGTATCCCAAATCTGCAAATTATGTTTTCCCACAAGAAATCTATCACTTCACATTCGCCGATCTTCTGATAAGGACATGCTTCAACCCATTTAGAAAAATAGTCAATTAAAACCAAAAGAAAGCTTACCTTACCGGGGCCCGATGGTGGTAGTCCGACGATATCCATTCCCTACTTCATGAATGGCTATGGAGAAAAAATTGAGTGCAATGGCTCTGCCGGCTGGTGTACTAACGGTGCATAGTGTTGACACTTATCACATTCTTGAACATAAGCTTTGGCGTCTTGTTCCATCCGGGGCCAATTCCTGCCCTAATTAATTTTAGCACTAGGGAGTCTACGCCTAAACAGTTTTTGCAGATCGCATAACATAATTTGCTTTAGAGGTTGCCAAACATCGAAGCAGCGGGCCTTGGAAAGATTTTTTGTACAATTGACCACCTTTGAAGCTGCATCGCGCTGCCTTAGCGCGTAGCGCCCGAGATGACTTGGGATCTTCAGGAAACTTTCAATGCTCGAGATAATCAATAATCTTATTCCTCCACTCCTAGACCAAATTAGTCGCGTTTACCTCGTAATATTTATCTGTGTCCAGCACCGAGTGCGTAAGTTGTACGACTATACCAGAGTACGATCCTTTCATTTCCGTAGACAAGCCAAGGTTAGCTAGTGGGTCCGGTTCCACATTCTCTTCCCTTGGGATATGCGTAATTGACCATTCCCGGAACCAGGCAAGCAGTGCCTGAACCTTCACTACGTATTGTTGCATGTGTTCCTCTTTGGCTTCGAAGATCTCGTAGACTTGATTTACCACCAACTGGGAGTCACATTTGATTTCTATGACCTCGGAATCCAGTCCACGTGCCAATCCGAGCCCTACAATTAAAGCTTCATACTCCATCCCATTGTTAGTCAAGGGAACAGTTCTTATGTCCTGCCTTAGGGTTTCTCCTGAAGGTGTGGTTAATACTATGCCGAGCTCGGACCCTTTCACGTTAGAAGCTCCGTCCGTGAACAGGGTCCAAACTCCTTATGTCGATTCCGACACCATTACTTCCTTTTTCGTAGCCAGAGGTAAAAGTCCCGGACTGAAATCGGCCATGTCGGCCAGAACTTGTGAATTAATTACAGTCATGGGCTTATACTCTATGTCAAATTCACTCATTTATATGGCCCACTTGGCCAGCCTACGTGAGAGTTCAGGCTTATGAAGAATATTCTGAGGAGAAAGGTGGTCACCACAGCTATCTGATGACATTGGAAATAAGGGCTAAGCTTTCGAGTGGCGACTACGAGAGCTAATGCCAACATTTCCAGATGTAGGTAGTGAGTTACTGCTCCTGTTAAAATTTTACTAACGTAATAATAAGAGATTGCGTACATCCATCCTCACGGACTAACACAGCACTTACCGGTACCTCCAAGACTGCTAAGTAGATCAACAATTGTTCATCTTCCTTCGATTTTGATAGCAGCAAAGGACTTGATAAATAATTTTTCAAATCCCTCAAAGCTTGCTGACATTCCGGGGTCTACTCAAAGTTGTTCTTCTATTTGAGCAGCGAGAAGAAATGATGGCATTCTCTGAAGACCGGGAAATAAATCTACTTAATGCGGCCAGTCTTTCTGTTAGCCTTTAAACCTCTTTTACGCTTGATAGCTGGTCCAGGATGTCATTGATGGCTTTGATTTTACCGAGGTTAACCTCGATCCCCCTTTGTGACACCAGGAATCTCGGGAACTCACCAAAACTGACCCCAAATGCAATTTCTCGTGGTTAAGCTTCATGTTATGCTTCCTTAAGATGTCAAAAGTTTCTTGCAAGTGTTTGAGATGATCACCTACGTTCAGAGACTTAACAAGCATATCATCTATGTAAACTTCCATGGTTTTCCCTATTTACTTTTCAAACATTTTGTTCACGAGGCGTTGATAAGTGGCTCCAGCATTTTTTAGCCCGAAGGGCATCACTTTATAACAATATGTGCCGATATTCGTGATAAATGAAGTTTTTTCCTGATCCCTGAGTTCATATTGATTTTTTTGTACCCGTAATAAGTATCGAGGAAACTCACTAGCTCATGCCCAACCGTTGAATCAATTATTTGATCAATGTTTGGCAATGGGAACGAGTCTTTTGGGCACGCCTTATTTAAGTCCTTATAATCTACGCACATGCAAAATTTATTATTCTTATTTGGAACTACTACTAAGTTAGCTAGCCAGTCAGTATACTTTACCTCTTGGATTGAACCGATATCAAGCAAGCGAGTTACCTCTTCTTTGACAAATTTATTTCTGACCTCAGCAATAGGAGGTTTTTTATGTCTAACCGGAGGGATGCTGAGATCCAAGCTTAGCTTGTGTACAACCACTTCTGGCGAGATACATGTCATATCCGCATGCGACCACGCAAAACAATCGATGTTAAATTTAAGGAATTCAATAAATTCAAACCTAAGTTCGGAGTGCAATCCTGTCCCCAAGTGAAACTTTCGCTCCGGGAACTTTTCAAATAATGCGACTTATTCAAGTTCTTCTGCCGTAGACTTTGTTCAGTCCGTTTCTTCCGGTACCTGAAAATATCTCGGTACCTGATAAGATTCCGACGAATCCTCCCCCCCGGTTAGCTTCGCTCGGCTCGGCTCGAGAGCAGGCGCTGGTTCCTGTAATTGCTATGCTGCACGCTCTTTCCCTTTGCTACTGGAAACTGATATTGCATTCATTTCTCTCGATGCCGGTTGGTCGCCACTTATTTGTTTAATCCCCTCAAGCGTTGGGAATTTCAGCAACTGATGATATGTAGATAGCACAGCCTTCATCTCGTGCAACCATGGTCTTCCCAGGATGATGTAGTAACCCATATCACCATCCACCACCTTGAAAAGGGTCGTCTTGATCACCCCTTCAGCATTCGTGGGCAACAGGATCTCTCCAAGGGTTGTCACGCTTACTAGGTTGAACCCAGCGAGGAGTTTTGTGGCCGAGATGATGTTTTCGGTGAGCTTAGCTTGCTCCAACACCCTCAATTGTATGATGTTGGTCGAACTTCTTGCGTCTACCAAAATATGTTTAATTTTAACATCCAAGATATTTAAAGAAATTCCCAACGCATTATTGTGCAGGAGCATCAATCCATCTGCGTCTTCCTCCGAGAAGGTTATGTCATCTTCAGCTACTTCCCAGAGTCTCTTGTTGTGGGCCACAACCACCTTCATTTTTTTTGTCTCCGAGAATGTAACCCCATTAATCTCGTTCCCGCCGAAAATCATGTTGATCGTCAAGCGCCGGGGATCTTCTCCTGCTTTTAAATGTTCTGCATTGTCATGATAGCGATTGTAGTTGTTCTTAGCCCGTTCACTTAAAAATTTCTTGAGATGACCATTTTTCAGCAATGTCGACACCTCTTCACGCAGATGCCGGCAGTCCCCAGTCTGATGACCGTTTGTTCCATGGTATTCACACCAAAAGTTTGGATCACTTCGGCTGGGATCGGATCTCATTGGCTTCGGGAACCGAGCTCCTTTAATGTTCATCATGCCCGACACCCATTCCACTACGCCAATGTTGAAGTTGTATTCGGAAAGCCTGGGGTAGGAAGAATCTCGAGAATCTGATGTTTCCTTATCCTGTAACAACATGTTATTTTGACCACGATTAATTATTCTATCGGTCGCGAATCTATCCGCTTATCAGAAACCTCTATCGCGTCATTCGGTCCGTTCATAGGGAAAAAACGAACTCCTTGAAGATCGTTGATCTGTGTCGAAATCATCTTTTGATTTCTCTTTATTCTTCTCCCATTCTTGACCTTTCAATGATGCTAGGAAACCGAGCTGATCATCTTCAATCCTTATGAAAATCCACCCAAGTTTTTGCCTGGAACTCGAGCAAACTTTTTTTTATCTTCTGGGAAGCGTCAGAACTTCCCGGGTTCAGACCTTTGGTGAACTCTTCAGCCGTTCATTGGTCCGGTACTGCCGGTAAACTCCCGCAGTCTTGTGTAATCCTGAATATGTTGGTCTTCCGAGCCTGTACCTTTCTGGCCCGGCATGGGCCTTGATGAAAGAGTCCGCGAGCATCCCGAAGGAGTCTATGGAAATCTCGGGTAGGAGCGAATACCATGTAAAGGGTCCCTTCATGAGAGTCTTCCCGAATTTCTTGAGTAAGACCGTCTCAATCTCGTGGGGAGCTAAATAGTTCCCCTTCACCGCCACAGTATAGGTGGTGATGTGCTCATGCGGATCTGAAGTCCCATCATACTTCGGCAATTCCGACATTTTAAACCGCTTGGGGATTAATTACGGTGTCGCGCTTGGTTTAAACGGCAGTTGGGGTATACTTCTTTGAATCCGGTCCTTTTAGTACTGGCGGTGCGCCCTGAATTTGATCCATTCGGGCATTTATTTCCCTCATAAATCGCATGAGCTCGGTTCTAAAGGGACCGTTTTCATTGTTGCTGCCGGAACCGCCATCGTTCCCCCAACCCTGTCAAAATTGACTTTGCCCCTTGGGATGTTATTATCGACCCTTTGCGTTGTCTGATTCGTGGGAGCACCGGAGGGAACTGCACCTTGTCCACTTGGCATATATTTTTGCCATATGGAAAGCTTACATATGAAATAGACTAGCACATATGGGAAGGTTCTAGAGAAATATGGAGATTTCTCATGGAAGACCTTAGAACCCTATGGAATTTCTAGGAAAGTCCTTAGAAGATTCTAGCTATGTCGAAATTCTAGAGAAAGGACTTACTTGTAAATATTAAGGACTTATGTAATAATTAATATTTACACACTAGCCCCTAGGAGACTAGTATATAAAGGGGGCCATTCATTTGTAATTCACCAAGCAAACAATTCAAGTTCTCTCTAATACAAAAGCTTCCTTTGGCAATTCTCCTATGTTCTTTCTACCATTCTCTTAGCGATCTTGAGTGTGGTATGGATGACTTGACATAGCAAGAACGTGAACAAGTTTTTCAAGATCGTGAGTGAGTTGTCAAGTGCCGCACATGTACTTAGTTAATGACTAAGTACGTGACAACGTGGTATCAGAGCAAAGGTTATGACTAAAGGAATGTTTGAAAGAATACAAGAGATTGCTAGAATGAAGCTTTGTAGGGAACCATCGAGATTACCAAGGGCGTGGTACTTGCAAAAGGGACAAATGTGAAGGTCCTTAAGAAAAAGGAGTATGGCGGTGCATGGGACGCATGCAAGGTGGAGGACTTACTTTGGAGGATGGAAAAGTACTTTGAGGTAGTCAAGGAGGATGAAGAAGTTGTGAAGGTACGCAACGCCTCAATGTACCTCACCGAGGTTGCCGCTCTGGGGTGGCGTCGGAACTGTGCCAACATGGAATAAAGGGCTATGCAAAATTAAGACGTGAGAGCAGTTCAAAAAGGAGTTGAAGAGCAATTCTACTCGATGAATTTGGTATACGAGGCTAGGCGGAAGCTAAGGGAGCTCCGACGGATGGCCACAATTCGGGAGTATGTACGCGAGTTCACTACCTTAACGCTGCAAATCTCGTCGCTGTCTGAGGAAGATTCCTTCTACTACTTCATGAATGAGTTGCAAAATTGGGCAAAATGGGAGTTAAGAAGACATCAGGTAGCCAACGTGGATGAGGCCATAACGATAGTCGAGTTGCTCGTTGACTTCAAGATGGAGCCTGCCAAGTCCAAAGAAGGCAACGCCCATAGGGGTTGGGGAGATTATGACAAGGACAAGAGGAAAGGCATAGCTGAGGTATACAAGGGCGATGGAAAGGGGCCATCACATAACGGAAAGGGGTCCAAGAGAAACGACAAAGGGACGAAAAATGGAAGCGAGTACGTGCCTAAAGGAGGGTGCTACTTCTATAAAGGATCACATCGGGCAGGTAAATGCCTAGAGTTGGGGAATCTTGCAGCAATGATCGAGAACTTTGCTCAGGCAAACAAGGATAACACAGGAGGGATCGCTTGCATTGGGGGATGTGCTTGGAATTTAAGCCAAAAGTAAGGGATTCCAAAGCCTATCTCGGCGCCATACAAATGGAACGTGGTGGCAGCAAAAAAAATGTTAGGGGGACATAGTTGAAGTGGATGGCGAGTTGCAAAGTGATGGCATACTATCGGACTTAAATGATGCACCAAATAGAGGGGTCAAATTTGCCAGCTAGGCTGGGACCACGGAGGGCATCCAAATAGTGAGTGGAAGCATGGACCCGATGGGGAGATTCAGACCAAGAGAAAGGAGAGGCATCCGATTAGCGGAGAATCGCCATCATTGCTAGCCGTCCTAAGTACAAATGAGGAAAGAAGAAAGGTGACCAATACCTTGTGACATGGGAAGGCGAACCGCTCCATTGAGCATCATGGTTAATGGACGAAGATCTTCGACGACGCAAAGGTAAGGTGCGTGCATACGTGTCGATGCTTTGTGCCGAGGGTGGCACAAAATTTGGGTGGGGGAGAGTGTCATGGACCGCCACATCATTATGCCATGAAGGTACCACTTGGAATATATTTTTGCCATATGGAAAGCATACATATGAAATAGACTAGCATATGTGGGAAGGTTCTAGAGAAATATGGAGAATTCTCATGGAAGACCTTAGAATCCTATGGAATTGCTAGGAAAGTCCTTAGAAGATTCTAGCTATGTAGAAAATTCTAGAGAAAGGACTTACTTGTAATAATTAAGGACTTATATAATAATTAATATTTACATACTAGCCCCTAAGAGACTAGTATATAAAGGGGGTCATTCATTTGTAATTCACTAAGCAAACAATTCAAGTTCTCTCTAATACAAAAGTTTTTTTTTTTGGAAATTCTCCTATGTTCTTTCTATCGTTCTCTTAGCGATCTTGAGTGTAGGAGACTGACTTGGCACAGCAAGAATGTGAGCAATTTGTGCAAGGTCGTGAGCGAGTTGTCAAGTGTCGCACGTGTACTTAGTAAACGACCAAGGACGTGATATTTTGGTAGAATATAGTGTATGCTAGTTCGAGAATTCGTCCCCTACAATGATGGTAGAGCTCACTATTTATAGGTACACCTAGGGAACAAGGTCCTAGGATCAAGCCCCTCATAAATGACAATTATGAGGGCCATTGATGAATGTGTAACTGTAGGTAGGGAATGTCATATTCTCTATAACGAACCATGCACTTAATGCTGTAGAATATATTTTGGTAGAATATAAAGGACGTGATATTTTGGTAGAACATAGTGTATGCTTGTTCGAGAATTCGTCCCCTACAATGATGGTAGAGCTTACTGTTATAGGTACACCTAGAGAACAAAGTCTTAGGATCAAGCCCCTCTTAAATGGCAATTATAAGGGCCATTGAAGAATGTGTAACGGTAGGTAGTGAATGTCATATTCTCTATAACAGACCATGCACTTAATGTTGTAGAATATTCTTCAATAAATGCTACCGGGTGGTAGGCATTTATTTAGCCTTTGTGAATATCATTCTTTCCGATGACAAGCGAGATCATTGCCTTCGGGTTCGACTGTCTTCTGTCTTCGGCTCCACGTGTCGCTTTTTCGTGCGATCATTTAATATGAATATATTTTACCCCATACAATTTTTGTATCCTTTTCTTCTTCTTTTGAAAAAAAAAAGTGTAACAGGGCCAAGAATTTCAACAACAACAATAACAACAAATCCAGTGTAATTCCACAAGTGGACTCTGGAGAGGGTGGTGTAGTATACTTTACCGCTTACTTTGTGAAGGTAGCTAGAAAGACTATTTTCGATAGATTTTCGGCTCGGTAAAAGTACAGTCACAACATTATTTAAAAAAATACAATAATGAACACAGTAATGAAATAAAGGTCAAAGAATTTCGACATGATCAAATAAAGATAGTTAATTGAATATTCTAAGAGAGCACTACACCAGTTATTCTAATTAACATCATTCCTTTTATTAATGATTCATAAATAATGCGAGATTTTTGGATTATTTAACTATTTTTCTCGAGTATATTTGAAAATAGTCATTCAAAATATCGCTTTTATTAAGTTTTGGCCCTTAACTCCTCCTATGTTTACAAAACCGTATCTTATTATCTATATCTATCTATATATATCTATATTTGTATCTATATCTATGTCTATATCTATCTATTTATATCTCTATCTCTATCTGTATCTATCTATCTATATCTATCTGTATTTATATCTATATCTATTTATCTATATCTATATCTATATTATTATAAAAGCACGAATAATTTATACTAAATGTTATGTGACAAAAATATCCTTGAAATATTAGCGGATTTTTATGTCCCTCAATACTAAATATTTTTCCAACGAAAATTATTCCATATTGGACATAATTGTAATAACTAGAATTTATATTCAATAGACACTAGTATTTATATTCTTATATGAAGTTATTTACTATTAGGATTCAATATTATTTATATGCTTATAAGACACGTTTAGTATCATAGTACCAAAGTTTGTACTAGATTATTTATGGGGTTAGAAAGAAAATGTGGCGATTAAATTTAAGGAAGAAAACAATATCAGTACCATCGACTTGTTTGACCTTCTGTAATATTTTCACTTCCAGCAATATTTCAGTGCTTCCTTCTTTCCTCACGGTTGTGTTTGGTTTTTGGTTCTATGTATTTTATTTTTTTTTGTCAGATGTATGTGGATACAAATTTGTGTGACTACATATAATGTGCTCCGGAAACTTTGTGCTTCTCTTCTCTGTTGAAACTTGAAAGTGGGTAGGGTTGATATGTTCTAAATTTATTTATATATTAAAATATATATTGGGTGTATGTGAACATATATATATGCATAACTATATTGCTTTTTATAAGTTCTGTGTGCAGAACTTTGGAAGAGATGATTATTCGTCAAAAAACAACATATGGACAAATTAATATGAGAACGTATCGTCTGTTGTGTATGAAGATGTATGTTTTGTATGTCTTAAGGTATAATAGATCAATAGTAACTAATGAGGTTAAGCTAGAGGTTCTTTGAATCTAAGTGAAAGCGAAACTCCAATAGGTAATGTATCAATTTCATCAAGTTAGTCGTCTTTTTACCAATTTAATATAATAAATTGAAAATATATCTATTCGAAATAAATTTTATCCTTTTATGTGATGACCCAAAAGGTCATCTTATATTTTAGAACTCGATTCTGTTTTCCGAGGCCCGTTAAAACCTTATTTCATCCCTCAACAATTTGCGTGCACAGTCCGGGCGCGTTTCCAGAAAGCTTTTATGTGGAAAATTGATGAAATAATAAT